GGAAAACGTACAGCTTTTTAATACAGAAGAGTATGTTATTATTTTTTTTGGGGGGGGCTGAAAGAAGAAGCCAATCCACAGTAAATGTTTCTGGCAGAATTTGTCCATAAGCATCCTCTCACTAAACCCTGAAGCTATGGCAAAAGTCCCAAGATAAAAAAAAACTTCCACTTATGACCAGATATCATGATGACTAATGACTAAAACTACGTCATTAAAGGTTTAATTTATACTTTCAACTTGGAGAATCCAATAAGAGCATAGATTTTATTTCAAAAAGCATGTTTTGAACTGGTGGTGCAGTGGTTAGCGCTGATGCCTCACAGCAAGGAGTTTCCTGGTTCGGAGCCTCGCTGTGTGTGTAGTTTGTATGTTCTCCGGGTGCATGCGTGGGTTCTCTCCCACACTCTCCTGCTTCCTCCCACAGTTCAAAGAGATGCTCATGTGGTTTTTGGTGACTCTAAACTGCCCGTAGGTGTGAATATGAGAATGTGAGCCCTGCGATTGACTGGCGACCAGTACAGGGTGTACCCCACCTCTCACCCATTGAAAGCTAACTTACTTCAACCTCTTTGCACCTGCGCCTTACTGTGCCTCTTTTGAGCCTCATAACTAAAACATTTCTGTGAAGTTTATTTTTATAAATCCACTCTGATACTGTATTTTATAACCCCTTTAAACCCCTCTATTTCAGCCCTGCTCAAACAGGCTGTTTCTGTGTCTGTAGCTTTAAATGTATGATGAGCTGTGTCTGACCACGCCCCTCTATAGAAGCTCAGGTGGCTTGGGCTTTCTCGCTCTCAATTGTATACGGTGAGAAGGCAGACTCACACTATAAAAAAGGATTTTTGTGGATAGTAATTAATATCCATACAATAAATTTTACTAAAACAATATAAGTCAGCAAGTGAACTCTATTATAATGGGTACATTTGACCTTCTTTACCTATTTTTCAACAGTAACAATTGCTACACAAATAAACTAAATAATATCTACCCAAAGATACTGGGTGTGCACTGAAGAGTGCGCATGCGTCATTACTTCTTTGCAGAGGACTAAATCTTTAAGTTTTAACACAATCAAATGTTCCGTGTTTCTTTCTGTTACTTATACAGCAGGATCTATGAAAACTTGTGAAGACCCATTGGAAATGCATTACTAAGGTATGTCAATTTTAACATATATATGCTTTAGATACATGAACTGAACACTGAGCCTTCTAAATTAAAGAGAAAAAAATAGGTGTTTGTTAACTTGTTTTTCAGGACATGTAGCTTACAGCTTTTAAAACCAACTGTATCTTTTGATGTTTGATTTATTTACCATTATCTTTAGCCAAATTACTTCACATAGTTAGATTGTGAGAATTTTGTCCCTTACTGATTTTTAGATCAAAGAAGAGTTCTGACTTATAACCACTGTTCCTCAGGAAGAGACATTTATGCTGAAGCTAGACGAGCACACACCACGTCTTCCGCAGCTGATGCGTGCAAAAGGAAGAGCTGCTGCTACAAGGATGCAGCATCTCCTGAACACTGCAAATAAGGTAATTTTTCAGTTTTTATTGAAAATTGCAAAAACCAGTTCGCAGATACGAGTAGTAACTTAAATATTTACTCAAAAAATTGGGTAAAATTTACACAATCAAACTGAGTGCAAATTGTTACCTCAATTATATTGAGTAGATTCTATAGGTTGCTTTTTATAGTGCAGAGGGCAGAACAAACACCTAGCTGTGGGAGTCTCACCCACCTGGGGGAGGGGTTACTGCCCTTTGTGATGTCATGAAGGGAAAATCTCCAAACGGCCTGTTTGAGCACACATTTTCTGAAAAGTGGAGCAGGTAAAAGACGGAGAGGATGGACTTTTCTCATCATTGTGGGGTTTGCAAACTGACTAGAGACACATATAAGTGTTTAAAAAGCATGGTTAAGTGTATTTGGCATGATATGTGAACTTCAAATTACATCAAACATAAGACAAACAACAACAACAAAAACAAAAGTATTATTTCCACTTTTTTAGACAAAGGTGAACCAAATTACAGGTATGAAATACAAGAAATTTCATTGAAATCCTACATCTTTACTGGTACTATATGGTCATATGTCATAAGTCTGGAAACGTTTAATTCTATTATCTAATGATAATGGAGAGTGATTTGATTGAAAATGCCATGGTTTCCTTAAGAGCAAAATAATAGTGCCTGTTAAAGTTTACAACGATCAATGAACAAGAGAAAACTGTATAATATCACATAGTTTACCTAAATGCTTCTGTTGGATCGTCTATCTCTTTAGCATAATTAATCCCTGACTTTGTGAAAATGTGAGGTATTGTACCTATCAGGTCTACAGAGCACAATAGCTTCAAGGTTAAAGATAGTGTGGGCATTATTTATCAGTGTTACAGCTCATGTTGGTCTCAGGCTGACAGAGAGCACAGAGGTCATTGTTGAATAAATTATATATCACTAAACAGAAGAAAAGTAGGTGGTGAAAATAACCATTTCATTTCATTAACTGCTGCTTCTCTATTGTCTATCAACCATAAACAAATGCCCCTTCATGGTCACAGATAGCTGAGACGTATAAGGTGTGGGTCGCTGGAGTTCATGGATAGGTAGAGGTGTTTTTGGCACCCTGGGATATAAATGTAAGAAAATAAAAATGAAATTTGTGGAAAACTCAAAGAGGCAAACCATGGTTGATGATTGTCTTAGTTCAGTGGCAAGGCCAGTTATCTCAGAGAGACACATACACCCAGGCATCCCATGATCCTTTGGCTTGGACGAGGTAGCGTTCAGGTTAAGATGTTTAAAAAAATATATGATCACCTGATGGGGAAAATATCTCAAATTTTTGCTTTCTCTCGACAGTCTAACTTCCTTTTCTCTTTGGATAAAACAGATCAGGCTCTGGATAGAAGGTAACAAGTCAGTCTGTGTGTTATGGTCTTCTTAGACTTCCCATCCGTCTTTTTTCTTACCTCTATATTTCTCACCTTTCTTGAACATCTATTCACCGGTCGAACAGCATTCATAGGATTTTCCAGCAACTCCTTTCTGACATCCTCTTTTGTTTCACATTTTGTCCTTCTATTAGATCTCCTACCCCCTGAGATTCACTTTCTCACCTTCCTCTAACTGTTTCAACAAAGTCGCAAAACAATATTTAAACCACAGATTGTGCTGTTTGTCATTGCCTTCAAGGAGGAGGGTTGGTTAGAGAGAGGATGCAACAGCAATCTCAAGGTGTCATGGAGGGTTTCTCACCTTTGCATGCCCGACCATCGACCCTGACTTTCCCCTTCTGCTATCAGTATTAAAGAGTCAACGATAAGCCATCCAGATCATCAAAAAAAGGGGTTTCCTTAATTAAAACTGAAGTGGTTGAAGTATAGACTTTGTGTCAGACGGGGAGAAAATTTTAACTTCTGTCAGATGGAGAGTACTAAGTGGCAAAGTGTTAATTGACAAGCACCATTTATGATAAACAAAGACACCAAAACCATGTATCTCAAGATGGGCTGTGGAACGGTAATTGCCTGGAGTGTACAGACAGCCTCTCGTGACCATACAAATAAAGGCTGCTGTCTCTGAGGAGCAAATATGGGAGGAGCCGGACCAATATCAGCTGGACTTTGGAAGGGACAGAGCGTGACGATGGGCGAGCTACATTGACGTTTTATGAGAGACAGTGGCACTCTGCACTGTCTCTTCCAGTGCTTGTCTCAACAGTAATGCTCTGAATGTTCTTGCAAGACAACAGAGAGAAGATCAAACCAGACGGAAACATTCAGCAATGCCCCCTTTCTTTCATACTGTATATAGTTAAATATTTTTTGCAGTTATGAAACCAGGCATTCACTGTGGATTAGTTTGATAAGGGAAGGTGCTCAAACATCTTCGCGAGATGCCTGACTTTTACCGAGATGGAAGTTGAGTCCCTGTTCTTCAATTGTTGCCCCCTCTGTCCCATCAGTTAAGTCTCTGTCCCACTAGTTAAGTCCCTGTTCTTCACTAGTTGCTCACTCTGTTCCACCAGAACACTTTCTCCACTATGGATCAATCTGCTGTAGTGCATCATAAAATGATGTACATGCTGGTTTGACAAGCCTGGGTACTGTAAAAGGCCTGATTTGATTGGTCAGGACTCCTCTCGGGATGGCAGCATAATTATAATGTCTTCACATTTTTAAGCAGGGAAACAGTATTTTAAGTTGTAAATACATTCAAATATAACATGAATAAATTGAAGTATATGTAAGGAAAGTCTAGTGTCTCGACGGCCATTTGCACAAGTGGCCAAGGCCCATAGGGCCCACCCATAACGTGGCTGGTCTTTATTTAACTTACCAACACAGCACAATTATATGTCAGTTACTTTGAGCACCTCAAACCAAGCTAGGTATCTACTGAACACCAATTACAGATTAAGGGGAATAAACTCACCAATATATATTTGAATTACAAAGGGAAAAACTGCAAAGCAAAGCAACCACTGTAGGACAAAAATCAGTAAATTCCAACTGGTATTGTCAGTCATAGCTGATACGTGTGTGTGTGTGTGTGTGTGTGTGTGTGTGTGTGTGTGTGTGTGTGTGTGTGTGTGTGTGTGTGTGTGTGTGTGTGTGCATAACAAATACAACAGTGTGCTGTCTTGATGGTCACTGTTCTTGTTACCTCTCTACCAACAGATACATTGACTCAGGAACAATACAAAGATCAGATGAATTGCACTGAAAAACCCATCCGAGGTGATACAGTCATTATATTCTAAACATTTACACCTACTTTTATGCTTGTGTTTGCTTTATTGTGAAACCACTCAGCCCCTCTCTCTCAGCCAGCGTGAGTTTGAAAGGGCTGTTGAGTGAGTGAGTGAAAGCATCTGCACAATGTCAGCAATTACTGCCTTTGTTTCTATTTGTTTTGTCCACAACAAAAGTGGTATTCTTGCCTCAAATGTGATATTTTGTATAAGAGCAGTGAACTTACCTCTGGAGAGCATTTATCTTGTCTGCAGTGATTCCTCTCAACAAGTCCTCGAGCAGGTCTGTGCTGTCTGATGGGGGAACGGGTGGTTTGACGGTAGGTGTGTGAGCAAACCAGCCAATTAGGAGTCCGAGGACAAAAAGGCCCACCCCTGCCAGGAAATACCTATGAAGAATGAGAGCGGGGTCAGAAATGAACCAAGAAATAAGGTTGTGCCAATTAGCTTATTGTTAAACGTTTGGTTGTTTTTGAGCTTTTATCAGAATCCTGGTGTCTGCAAGGAATGGAGGGTTTCCTTTATGATAATTACTATTATACTCTCTCCAAATAACTGTCAAATATTCTGCAAAGGCCTGACATTTGACCTAAACATTATAATTTGCTTTTAATCAAACATCTGATTCCAAGGTCAAGAATAAACTTGCATTAAACCCCATGTATAAGATAGCTTTTCTTGATAAATAGCTGCTGTTGAAATGGAGAGACACTGATAAGTAGAGTCCTTCAGGGACCTCCAGAACCTCAATGATACTTCCCCTTGATTTACAGTTAGACCTTTTGATAAGCTGCTATTACCATTTAATAGCAGCTGAGTCAGTGTTGGTGCTTGTGGCTCAATGCCTTAGGGGCACCATTCACACCTTGACTTCAAGCACCCTGCAGTGGTGCTTATCTAGATAACATGTAACCTTTTACCTCCTCGCAGGTGCTGTGTCAATTGGAATGGGTGATTGGGAATGTTACCTCGGGTACTGGGGCGTCACTGTTAACCAGTGTGGTGGAGTCCTTTTAATGGCAATGAAAGGGATTATAGGGATTCAATTACATCAGGTACACTTAAGAACTAATGTCAGGGAGATGCTGTGTAGTTGCAGCAGCGGGGAGGCAGAGAAATTGATTCAACACCAATTCCATTTCAACTTTCCCAATTATTTTGGGATTTTTTTTCGTGAAATAAAAAACTTTCAGTCAGTAACTCAACAGGTCTTGGATTACCTGAGCAGGAAGCAGTGCAGTCTGCGTTGACCCTTATGGCCCGGGGCCCTTGTGAAGTGGGAGATGTAGTTGGGATCTTCCTGGAGGCGTTCAAATCGTCCATGGGGTGAAACAGAGACAGACTGCTGGATGGAGTCCATCAGCTCTGGGTCCGGATCAGGGCCGGGGTCTGAACACCCTGGAATCAATAATAATGAGAAAATTAAACTCCTTATCCTATTAAATAATATCAAAGACGTTTGGGGCCACATTTGGCTACATTGTTTGAAGGTATGGTACATACAGAGTAGTAACAGTGTCCTGTAGATGTAGAGATTAACACAAGTCTCTTGTACGCCCAATCTTTTCTTTGGCCGTACCACCGCTGTCCCTCATTGCACCACCTCCCCACCCTGGCCAGTTTTAATTGAGATGTCTCAACAGAGCTATTGGTCAAGAATACCTTGAATTGGGTTTAGAAACATGTTCAACCCAACACAACTTCAAGTAGAATTGGCAGTGAATTAATTTGAATTTGTCTATTATTTTGAATATCCATGATGGACTTGGGGAAATATTAAGAAGCTCTCGTATTGTCATCGAGGAGATGTTGGGTTGGCTAGCTTATGTTAGCATGCAGCTAAATACACCAATTTCTTTTAGTGCAGTCTTAGGCTCCGTGTTCACCTAGTGGTTTTTTTATTCAGCGCCACAGTCATTTTTCAATTGTTGTCAATGAGGAGAGAGCAAACCTTTTTCATGAGAGCTCTGCCTTTTTGTGAGGCCACTCTGAGCACTTCAAGTTGAAAATCTGTCAACTTTTCTGTTGGCGTCACTAGTATTCTTTTCCAAATGTATGATATTCCCTGTAGTTTAGCCACCTACGGATCGTGTTTTATACCCACATCCTCTTTGCTCCATGTCTGATTGGGTAAAAAATGATTGAAAACAAAAAAACATAGCAAAAAGTAACCGAGCAGTGTCAGTCATACAGCGGCCTTTGTCAAGAGACTGTTTTCATAGAGACAGGACGGACATGCAATGCTTTTAATCTCAGTGCACAAACTAGTTGGACACAGAGCTTCATTGAGCCACTATAGAACTGTATGTAATAGCTTTCAGTCTTTATAGCACAGCTTGGTTATGTGAAAAAAGATGACCTTTCTAAATGTAATAAAGACCAAAAACTCAATATTTTTCTCATCAGTTATGACAGAGACAAACTGAAGAGTTGTTGCACATTTAGCTTTAATTTACTTTTAACAGTGAGGCAATTGAAGCTGGCAAAACAGGTAACGGCTAACAGTAACCTCCATCTTTTATGCTAAACACAAACTGTGAAGGGAAACCAAACAAAAATGTCATGCTTAGTTTTGAGTTCTGAAAAGCGTATCCAATATGCTTGAGCAGGCATATGTGAGGATAGAAAGCTGCCACCAAAACAGAACTCCAGGCACGTTTCAAAACAGTCCTTCAAAGCCAAGGAACTCAAGTCTAGCTTCAGGGTACTTATGAAGTTTCTCTCTTTTTTTCAGCTGCTGGCAGTGGCAAACTTCTCACATAATTCCCTTTTCCCCCTATTTTTCCGCAGTGACAGGTTTCAAATTATGTGAAAGGGTTTGTGAACATTTTCTGTCCAAAACACATTTCAAGATAATCAAAAGCTCGAGATAGAAACTCGTTTTGGCATGCTGGGAAAACCTGCCAACTCCGAGATCAATTACAGAGCGCTGTGTTTATTACCGTGTAAGCCATGCTTTGTTCACAAGGGATCGAACATGTATCATCATTACACTGAGAGTACATCACCACAGGAAATGTCATAATAGGGAAGTACACAATATAAGTGAGATTCAATATTGTTAATGAGATAATTTTAGGAATATTTGTATTCCCAAACTGTATTTGTTTGACGGTTATGAGCTATGGGATCTCATTAATCTGAGATTTTCTTTCATAAATAATTAAAAAAATCATCATGTAATCAATCAGACCCAATCATTTGCCCTTCATGTGAGCCCTAATTGTCTCGTTTGTAATGCAAAGTAACCACCTTTGCATGAAACAACAATTTATTTCAAGTGAGATCCGCGACATGGAAAGTCATCGCGCTTTTCTTTTCCTTGCAAACCTACTTGGCAATCAACCCAATGGGTTAGGGTTAGGGTTATTCAGTGATGATTCGGTGATTCAGATTCTTTTTAATTTTCTAATCACAACAGATTTTTACAAGACATGTTTTGTTGTGTTTTGTGTTTGGCTACTGTGAAAAACTGAAATGAAATATGTGATGTGCTGGTCATTAATTGTAAACCTTTGCTTGGGCATTTAATTTCTCTGTGTTCTAAATGTAGCAGAAATACATGAGTTTACAGTATATTGGGAGGTAATAGATCCCTACCTGATCTCTGGCAGTCTACATGTTGCATCTGCATGCGGTCCATGCTGGGTCCTGGTTCTTGTAGCTCTTCCTTGTCCAGGTCCCAGTCAAGATCCATAGCTCCAGAGCAGTGCAGGACCTCACCGACCAATGGGCCACCCTGGGCGTCACACACCTTCCTGTATGCCATGATGTCACCTGGATTTTAAAACATGAAAAATGCATTCAAACATTCCACTTTTCAAATTCATTTTATTAGCAATAAACCCATTTCAGCTGAAACTAGGCAGCAACATCTGGTTTTAAAAATTCAAGCCCAAGTGTAAAAAAACAAAGTTTGTTGATTGTCCACTAGAGGCTGGCTGAAAAAGCCCCCACAGACACATTGAGAATAAAAAAAAGGCTAATTTTGACATCAGAAATAAACATATTTGCAACCTAGAACACAAAAAAAGTTTTGGTCTGAACAGTTCATGACTTTAACATCACACACTACGGGAAGGGAGTTTTAAAATAAACCAGTTAGATTTTGTGAAGGTTAAGCGTAGGATCTGATGACAAGCAGTCTTGTTGTAGATGTTTGTCAGCAGTGTTAAGACGCATCAAGTCCACCTCTTTGTTTGTTTCTAGTACTCGAAAGTTAGGTTGAGGGGGCATTTCCAACATGGCAGCCGCCATCGTTTGGCTTCAAAACACCTTTTCTGAATCCAATGAACACGTCCATAATTTATACAGTCGATGGCGGACACCCAAACAGTCACTGAAAATTTAAAAAACAAACTGTAAAATAATCAATCTGTTACCAGTGAGACACTGACATAGAAAACAGAAAGTCCACTTGAGTATTGTCCTCAAAAGTTTGAAACTCGACACTATGTACAGAGGTTTATGACACTATGAGGAAGATTTATACAACTCTGTAAAGTTAAAACAGGAAAAAGCAATTAACAGTAAATTCACATTCCTAGATCAACCTCTGAATATGTGTAAATGCATGGGCACTCACTAAAAATGAGCAAGCTATCTACATATTTTTCATCGAGGTCATCATTTTTGGTTTTTAAGTTTTCACCTCAGAAGCTAAGAGTTAAAGGAGGAGGACGATAAAGTTAATGGTAAAACAGTTAACTTGCTCTTTAAAAGGTATTGTGTGCATAGTGTATCCAAATTAAACTGATCCTGCTTGGAAATCTATTCTCATACACTTCTAACAGAGTATTTTAATAAGCATAATGCATGTTGGCATTTTCAATCTATACTTCAAGCTCCTGGTAGCTAACCCAGCAGTGTGTGTAGAGCGCCAGGAATAAGCCACATGGGTCGAATTAAGACTGCTTATTTGACTCGAGGTAATGGATGGTACATTAGTGCTGGATATAAAAGAAAATGTGTTGGATGTGGTTAAAAGCTACTCAGGCTATGGGACTGACCGGAGCCTCTCAGCACACGATTATGAAGACTAAAAGCACCACAGGGTGCAGCAATGCATTAATGCACGGTAATGTGACGAAGAGAACGCAAACGAGTTAGGCCACAACATGGAGTAAAGTGTTGGAACGGAGGGCGTCTGTGAGTGTGTATGTGTGTCTGTGTGTGTCTGTGTCTGTGTGTGTGGTGGTATCTTGCCCTGTTAAACCAGCTCTGGAATCAATACAGCCCCTTATACAGCATCATTAAACCTCACCAGGGCTGGGATCACATGCATGCAGGCCGTATGTGTGCATGTGTGTGTGTGTGTGTGTGAGTGTGTGTGTGTGTGTGTGTGTGTGTGTGTGTGTGTGTGTGTGTGTGTGTGTGTGTGTGTGTGTGTGTGTGTGTGTGTGTGTGTGTGTGTGTGTGTGTGTGTGTGTGTATGCGTGTGTGTGTGCGTGTGTGTGTGTGTGCGTGTGTGTGTGTGTGCGTGTGTGTGTGTGTGTGTGTGTGTGTGTGTCTGGTTAAGAGACATCTGACTCAAGACCAGCTATATAAAACCTCCCAGCTCATATCTTGGTATGTCATCAAGTTTAACTGCCCTTTTTACACGCTCCATCATCAAAATCCTCCATGAATGGGCAAACGAACTGCCCAATCAATAAGCCCTTGGAGATGTACGGAGTAAAAAGAAAAGAAGAAAAACACCGTTAAAGAAATGCCTGGAAACAACAGTTGAACTTTATGACCATTACCCAGTCAAAACGTAGGCACTTAATGATTAAGACGGAATACGAGAAGAGTAAGAAAAAGAAAGCCGGTGCAGAAAATGTCAAAGTTTATTATCTACCAAAACAATTCTAGATTTATGAAAAATGAATAAAAAGAAGGGGGAAATTCAAGATTGTTTTAAGATTTTGATTTGGTTGTTTACTGCAAAATATAGAATTACATTGAAGAATTTAACAGTTTTAAAGGTGCACTATGAAGTTTTGGTAGAGAAATGTAAAAGTTGGAGAAATGTACAGATTCTGTGGTTCATGCTCATAACTATTTACACAAACTGTCTTTTGAGGAAAATTTGGTCCCTGGAACACTGTTTGAAGTTGTGGCGGGGGCCCGCAACAGTGAAAGCGTAACTCTCCTGGTAGATTTTTAGCTCATGGTTCCAGGGACCCATTTTTTTCTTTGAATAAAGTTAGTTTATTTAGTTCATAAAAAATGACAGATGATTGTTTTACTTCTCTTTCAAATTTCACCACCAAATCTACATACACATGCACCTTTAATGATATGTTTATCATCATTCTCATGTCAACTAGATAGGTATGTAATACATTTTAAATCTTTAAATATTTGTTTTATTAACATTAAAAACAGATACTAGCTGGCAGATCTCAGTCTTAGCTTTGGGAAAAAAACACAAGTAATGTCTAGTTAATATCACAAATACATGACTTGAGATAAGAACTTACTTCTTTAGATAATGATGAGGCATGTGCACAATTTATTTATTTTTTGTCATTTTTTCAAGGCCATTGCATGGATATTGAACTGGGCAACCAGCCACCAACCAGGTCATTTTCCTTTTTTTGGTCAGCAGCGTATGAATGTGTATGAATGGGATTAGTTACTTCTGATGGTCACTTCACATAACAACCTCTGCCATCAGCGTGCTATGAGAATGTGATGGTGTGACTTGTGGTGTAAAAGCGCTTGGAGTAGTCAGAAGTCCATTTACCATTTTAAAGATTTAGTAGGCATATGTATCATGGTCAGGTGGCAGGGGCGGATCTAGGGATCAGCCAGGGCTACCTATAGGCCCCACCTGAGATCTGATTGGTCACCCTAGGTGCCACCTCAAATTTTAAATCATCTATTGGGGCTGTGTCGAATCAGGTTGCTTAGTGGCTTTCTTTGCATAACAATATGGCACATTCCAAGTCTTTATTTTCTATTTTTATGAATACGAGTACTTTCAAGTTGTGATGGTGATTATTCACAGCCTCTTCTTTTAGTAATTATGATTACATTTTTAAATCGATGAACAGCTCTAAAAACACAAAAGAATATAACCCTTACTTAAGATGTCGATGATTGATTTTTAAATCCAAGATAAATCAAGGTCTGAACAGGACACAGTCAAGCTGAAAAATAGCTTTGTTTGGAGTGAGTTGCCGCTCTTTTTTTAAGAAAAGCACAATCAAGAAGGGATTGAGATAAAAAGAAAAGGTGCAAACCGAGAAACACAAATGCAGACAATTAGAGGAAGAGTTCTGAAGAGGAGGGAACACAGACACAGCTAGGGGGGAAAAGACACAGGCAGTGGCAGAAACACAAAGCATAGCAGTTAAAAAGAGGAAGGCAGGAGAGAAGCGGTAGAGTGTTTATAGTTGAAGGGGAGAGGGTGAAAAGACGAGGGAAGAGGTCTGGGAGTTCCCTGGCATCAATCTTCAATGCTCCAACACACTTTCATTACTTCTAGCTCAATGCAGATGAAGGATCCTCTCAGTACTGCAGAACAAAAGTTCATTTAACTGCTGACCTGCTGTTAGAGCCGCACTCTCTGCAGTGGGCCTTTCACTGGATGCCTGTCACTGCTGAAGCGTGAAAGACTTAGAACTAGATGATGTTTCTTTACTGCTTTTCTTGTCCGTGCATGTAGTTCATTTTGAGAGGACAGCATGCAGTTAGGATTTCCGGGGGAGATTTTTCTTTAAATCAAAGCTGCCGTATTTAATAAGAACCTAAACATATATGTGTGTGTTGGGGCCACATGGAAATATGAATTATTTAAGGTTAAAAAATGCAAAAGTGCCAAACATTAAGACATGACAATAATTTGTTTATTGTGCTTAATTTGGTTTTAGCTTATTTACATTGATTTGTGGTGTTTTTCACAGTTTCATAGTTCAAAATTGTCCTTTTTTGCAAGGATTCTAGAAACTAGTGTTGTAGTCAAGAGAGACCAGGGTGCTCCTAGACCTAGTCAAAACCAAGACATTAAGGGATCTAGACCAAGTTGAGACCAAGACCAAGACCAAGGCAGGGCAAGACCGAGACAAGAGCATAAATATCAAAGGAGGATCATCATCTTCTGTGCAGGGGACGTGTCACTCACTTAGACCACAACTTATTATTGGGTGTCACTTATTTTGATAATTATTAATTATTTCATTTGTGTGGATTTTAAATTAAAAGTAGTTGCTGCTCAGTTAATGGCTAATGGATATCCACATAAATAAATAAACACCCGGAAGGTTGTGGCCTTAGCCAGTGGGCAAACTAAACTACAAATGAATTGAAGCTATTCATTTTTTAAGAAAGGAGCGTTTTTCAGTGGTGGTTTTAACTGGTCTTGATTTAAAATCTGGAGTCGGCTCAGTCTGAGTCCCAGACAAGACTATTAAAAAAAGCTTTGAATAAAAAAGCTTTCAATTCTGAGACGAAACAACCACCGACAGAGACGGAAACCTTCAAATACTGGTCTCGATACCAGTTTTGAGACCAAGACCAATCTTGAGTACTTCAACACGACCAGAAACAAATTATACTCACAGTCTGCCAGCACAACAAATTTCCCCTCGCAGGATCAATAAAGTATAAAGTATTTATTCTTTACTTGCCCCTTCTTTTTCAGCTTTGAATGTGGAGTGCAACACATCTCAGGTAAAAAAAAAATCAATGTGCAGTCACAAATCAAAATATTACCTTTTGAATTTGTAAAAGTCAGGCTGCATATCTCTGGATTATCCACTGCAATTTAACAGTCATAAAATG